AGATAGAGATGGGAAAAGGGGGCACAGTTTTAAACTTTAAAAAAAGGGGGGATTTAGATTAGGTGTTAGGAAGAAATTCTATACTCAGTTCTGCCCATGGCTGGGGGAGTGAAGCTTGATGGTCTCTGAGATCCCTTCCAGCCCAAACCTTTCTGTGGCTCTATGAAAATACAGCAGCAGCATCCCTGAACCCTTCTCCAGGCAGAGCCCCTGATGTCTCACACACACACAAGCACTGAAAGGTGATGTAAAGCCAGATCTGGGTTAGCATCTGAAATGTCCTTCAGGGTCTGCAGCTCCAATCTCTGCTCCTGGCACAGGGACAGGAGCCAGGGAAGAGCTGGAGCTGGGCCAGGGCAGCTCAGGCTGGATTTTGGGAAAGGTTCTTCCCCAGAGGGTGCTGGCACTGCCCAGATCCTCAGGGAATGAATGGGACACTGCTCCCAGGGATGCCCAGGGTGGGATTTTGGGGCTGAGCTGGGCTGGATGATCCCTTCCAGCTCAGGATATTCCAGGATTCAGTCCCAGAGGCTGAGGTGGGAGCAGGGCTGGGGGTCCCGGTGTCTCCCCAGGTCCCTGTCCCCAAACTGGGGAGTGCTCCCAGCATGGATTGACTGCCTGCCCACACAGGCAATCTGGAAAACATTCAAATATCCTGTCGTCTTTGCTTCATCTTGACAATTGGTTTTAATCAGTGTTATCAGCTGCTGAAAACACTTCATTCTTTGGAGCGCTGCAGCTTTCAGCCTCCGGGAGATTCTCGGAGCGGAGGTGCAGCGTTGGTGATGGGATCAGTTCTGTTTCAAACCAGCACAAAAGGAGAAAACCTCTTCCCTCCCACCCCACCGCCACAATTTATTTGATTTTTTTTTTCCAAAAAACCACTCGAATAAGCGAATCATATGACCGAGCTAATTTGATACTGTGATGCTGTTTATTCCTGGCTTGTCAATACTTTAATTTCAATCTGTTTCTAAAACAGAAGTGAAGGACATAATTGACTGGGATCTGTTAGGAGTTGTCCTGCCATCTGCACGGGCTGAAGCGAAGCATTGCAGCATTTAAAGGCATTAAAGGAAATTAAATGCTTTTGGATTAGTGCTGACTTCTGATTAATATTTTAGAAAAGGATGTGGTAACAGCTGGAAAGGCAGAGATCAAATCATCCCTTCCCCATTGTCCTGTTTCTGTACAGAGATGCGTTATCAGGTTTACTCTAAAGTAGCTTATCTTGTTTTTTAGGTGCTTAAGACCTAATGATTTTTTTATGCTGAGGAATAATCAGGGAAGCAGGAAAGAGGAGAGGCCAATGACAGCTTGTTTGTGGTTATAAAATATGGAGTTACAGAGGGAAAATCCCTGGCTGGAAACAATCAACCCAGTCCTGAATTCCCCACACCCGAGGGAATGTTAAAACAAGAAAACTCTTTTCGAGGCTCCCACGACTGTGAGTTTTTTATCTCAGGGGTTTTCCCCTCTGTGCTGCAGTGGGAACCAGGGAATGTGCCTGCTCTGCCCCCATGACTGATCTGTGCTCCTTAACTGCCGCAGAAAATATGCAAAAGCACTTGAGTTCATTTAGAAAAGTTGGGGTTTTACAGGAAAGTGAAAATTGAGCTTGAAAGAGTAATTACCCTTCTTTTTACTTTCACATTAATGACTATGCAGAAGAGCTTTTTAAATATGTCCATATGTGGGTTTAAAGCATTCATTCCCCATCAGTATTTCACCTTTTTCCTTAAGTGATTTCTATAGTCCTGCTAACCAGCAATCATTTTGCCTGAATCTCATTTCCTCATAATAGCAAACCCATCAATCTCTGCTTTATTAAAGAGGGAAGCAAGCTTGGAAGCCAGAACACTCCGATTTGATAAAAGATGTTATGCAAACCATTGATTTTAATTTACAGCAATATCCACTTCTTCCATTATTAACAACTTGGAATTACTAAGACTGAATAATTAACATGTATTCCTGATGATGGATCATTCCAAAGGCAGAAAGAGCCCAGAAGAAATCCCTCCTGCACCCTAGTGAGGCATCTGCCTGTTCGATGTTCCCCAGGGAGCAGAGTGAAATGGTTTTGGAAATCAGGCAGACCCCAGCTCAGGGAAGAAATGATGATGTCTGCTCCAGATCAGAAGGCTGAAGGATAGCTTTATTAAAATTATACTCTATTACATTAATATACTAGTTAAAGAGAGACTATCCTGTTCTACATACTTACTTTTTACTTACCCATCTAACTCAAACTCGTGACTCTGCTGAGAGTCCAACCCAGCTGGATCCATTGGTCACTGACCCCAAACAACCTTCACCAGAATCCAACCCAGCCATCCCTGCAGGTAAACAATCTCCAACCACATCCCACATGGGCAAAAGCAAGGAGCAGAGACAAAGATTGTTTCCTCTTCTTCTCTCTGTGCTTCTCCTGAGAGACAGAATTATGTCCCTCTGTCCAGAGGATGTGAATGGCACAAAACGGCACGAGGGAAACACTCCCAAAAGTGATTTCAGAGCTAAAGTTCCTGTCCCAAATGTGCCAGCGGGAGCTCCTGCCCTGCTGGGCTCTGCTCAGAGCCTGGGTGATGATCACATCTGCCCAGGGACACCACCAACCTCAGGACAGGGTGGGAAATGTGGATTTAAAATTCTCAAAGCCAAAAAAAAAAAAAACAAACCCATCAATGTCTGGAGAAATGTCTGGCTCAGGGCTGGGCTCCTCTGGCATTTCCAGAGCTTGTTTGGATGAGTAAAACTCAACATCTCTGTGTGCCAGGACTTTCTAATCTTTTTTAGCTTTTCTCCAAAGCAGGAGAGCTCAGTGAGATAAAGTGTAAAAAGCCTGGGATGGTGTTTAGTACATAAAAAGTGACCCCAGGGCCAGTCAAGGTAAAACAGGATAAGAGTTCCACTTTTCAATTACCTGAGCAATCTCACAGCATTAATCCTGGGTGTCCAACACCAACCCTGTAGGCTGAGAAGAAATTTCCCTGCTGAATTAGTGTCAAGTGTTTAATGCCAGTTTATCTCCAGCCACATTTGATAACAGGAAAAACCCCATTTTCACCTGTGTAATGTGAAGTCATACAAGCAGTTGAAGGTTTAGGATGCAGTTTATTCAGGATATATCATTAGAAATGGCTTTAGGGGAAAAATAACTCAAAATTTTGTAATAAGATCAGGTTTATGAGGAATTTATTGCATGCTGGGAATTTATTTCCTTCCTGCTTTGCAAGCTGTGAAAAAAAAAAAGTAAAACCCAAAATCTTTCTTTGAAACAGCAAATTATATGTAGAAATGCAGATTTAAAATATGGCTGACATTGGAGGGGGGAGTTTGTGTTATTCTTCCTTTTTCTTTTCTTCCTCTTTGTTAACTGAAAGAAATTATTGATCTCAGTAGGGGAAAATTAGGCACTCAGAATAAAAATTATTTCCTTTCCCTAACTCTGGAAAAATTACTAAGTAAAGAAGGAAAAAAAAAAAAAAAAAGGGAAAGCCAGACTGTTTTGTGTTTTGTAGCACAGAGTGAAGGGAAGAGAGAAAAAGGCAAAACACTATGTAGATTTCAAAACTGAAGATGTAAAATGCTTGTCTTGAGGAAAGTTTGAACCCATTAGTCCTTGTCACATCACATCAGGAACTGCAGTGACAGAGTGATGGGTTCAGACTGCAAAAGGGGAAATTGAGGTTACAGGTAAGAAAAAATCCTTCCCTGTGAGGGTGGGGAAGGGCTGGGATGGGGCAGCCACAGCTCCCATCCCTGCCGTGTCCCAGGCCAGTTTGGGCAGGGCTTGGAGCACCCTGGGAGAGCAGAAGGTGTGGAATGAGATGGGTTTTAAGGTCCCTTCCAACCTAAACCATTCTGTGATTTTGTGGCACTAACATCTTGGGGGAAAAAATGGAAAAGACAGCAGGCAGAAAGAAAAAAAAAAAAAAAAAACCAAAAAAAACCCACAAGACCAAAATGCTTCTGCATGGAAAATAACATGATTTATTTGTGTGTAAAGAGCATGGAAACATTTTTGTGCAGAGGCTCTGCCACCCCTGCCAGTGCCACTGCAGCTCCTTTCCTTTTGTTATAAATAACTGTGTAGTTGTTGGCTTTTGCTGTTATGTATTAAATTTTGCAAACTGTTATTGATCACAACGATTTTGATATACCACAGTTTGTAATCACTGTTGGACTGGTTTTAATACATTATAATTTTGATACAGATTATTTTGGACTGGTTTTGATACAGTATAATTTTCATACAGATTATTTTGGACTGGTTTTGATACAGTATAATTTGTCAACTTTGTGGCCAATGCCCTGGCCATGTGTAGCTTATCTATGTATTAGTGTGATAAAAATATATTGTAGTTTAGGCTTTCACAAAACATTAAAATAGAGACGGTATAATGTTAGCTTTTGCAGGGTACTTTTATTTTTGTAACTAACTGACAATAGTGAGAAAAACTTAAATAAGTTTGTAGAAATAGCTAAAACTGTCTGTATGATTAGACAACACTGAAGGAATCACGGAGGTAACATTAAAAGAAAGGATGTGGAAAGGACTTCTGCTACTGACTTTGCCACTATCAATAATGCCCCATTTGTTGTTGTGAAGAAATGGCATACATACAAGAAATGACATATAAATTGTGAGGAAATGATACGTACATTGTGAGGAAATGATATGTACATTGTGAGGAAATGACATACACGACTTCCAGAACTCAAATCTGCACTATTGTGTGACGGGTCAGGAGTCAAACAAAACTAAAGAATTCCCAGAACACGTAAAAGAACTCAAAGGAATATTTGAATATGTATAAGCTTCATAAATATGCATCTGATCAGTGCAATGAAAAAATACATAAGGAAAGTGGTTTTAACTAACTGGTGCGCTCTTGGCAATTTGTCTGCTGTCCCTTTTATTCCTTATTAAAGTTTGAAACATTTTAAAGTGTTTCTCCCACTTTTGTCTCTGTTTCCCTCGCGCTCCCTGGCAGTTCGAGTGAGGCCTTCGGCATCGCGGAGAAGATCGTGCTGCTCTCCTTCATCTCCGCCGTCATCCTGATGGCCATCCTGGGCAACCTGCTGGTCATGGTGGCCGTGTGCCGGGACAGGCAGCTCAGGTGAGCCCACCCGGGGATGTCGGAGCTCAAAATGTCCCTCAGACATTTTTGGAGGTTCCAGGCCAAGGTCAGAAGCATTTGAGACCCTGGCAGGCAGCTGGAAACAGCTGTGATTTTGGGTTTGAGCCATGGAATGACTTACCAACCTTGCAGGAAGAACATCTCCCACCATTGGTGCGCTCCGAATGACGCACAGTGGCAGAACTTATCGATAAACAATGTGAACAACAAGAGAGATAGAGAATTATTACATCCCTTTCCAACTCTTTCCCAGGTCCAGCCTGATAGAAACTTCTCCTTTTTCTCTGCCTGAACTGAGAATATCCATACAGTTCCATAAACCAGGCCGGGCTGACTGGCAGCGGTTCCAACCAGTAACAGCTCTCCTAAAATACAACAAGCGGCTGGTTCAGAGTCTGAGGGCTGTAGGGACCAGACCAGTGGCTGTGCAGCACTGGGAGTATTTGAACTGCCTGTAAAAACTGCCCAGGAACAACCAACCAGGCTGTTGGGCTGATGACAGAGGAACAACCAACCAGGCTGTTGGGCTGATGAGCAGTGGGGTTCTGTCGTGGGTTGGGTCTCTGATGCGTGGACATTGCGGTGCCCAGTGGTGACTGGGCAACCTGCTGGTCGTGGTGGCCCTGTGCCCAGACAGGCAGCTCAGGTGAGCCCACCCAGGGGACACAGCCCCTCCTGACGAGCTGAGGTCACCAGGGAGGTGGCCCTGCCTTGCAGACCTTCCCTGCCCTCAGCTCATCCCGCAGCGCTGGCACCATTTTAATCCCCATCCTCACCTTTTCAGCATCCTTGGTGTAGAAAAGCAGACAAATCAGTGAAAAGCACAGCCAAGCAGCAATTCCCTGGAGAAACAGGTTGGCCTCTGGCCCTTTTCCATCTCAGATTTCCCAATGAGCTCATCAGCAGCACACAGAGCAAAGTCTGGTTGTGGCCGTGCAGCTCCAGCACAACTTAGCAAATGTTGCCCATGATTTGAGGGGGTCACAGGCACAGTTCCTGTCTCAAGGCTGCTGCTAACCCTGGGAATTGTCAGCCCAGCCTTAGGAGCAGAGAGATTTAACTGCTTCTATTCATGTGCTGCGTGGGATTTTTAATGGATTTAATTCTATTTTATTGTTGTGATTTAAAAAGTACTCTTCAAGGTAAAATTACAGCTTCAGTCTAGATTATTCTCAATGCTTTCTGGAAGGATTTTCTCCATTTACAAGTTAAAATAAAATCCCCCTCCTCCAGCCCAGAGCCTCCAGTGCAAGCTGTGAGGCTGAGCCACATGCAGAGGCCTGTGAGCATCCATTTGCCTCCTCTGGGTGAGCAGAAAGATGTGTTTAGGCCAGGAAAATGGTGGATATTTAGGCCTAAAAACCAGGAGCAAGCCAGGAGTGATCATATAAAGTGAGGAGTTGTTAAAGAGGAGCTTTGGGTGTGATGGAGCAGATTAAACCCAAATTCAAGCTGGAATCTCTGTCCATGTGTGGGGGCTGCTGCACTGAACCCACCCTAACTCTGTGATCTGCCTTGCAGGAAAATCAAGACCAACTATTTCATTGTTTCCCTGGCCTTTGCTGACCTGCTGGTGTCGGTGCTGGTGATGCCCTTCGGGGCCATGGAGCTGGTTCAGGACAATTGGATCTATGGAGAGATGTTCTGCCTGGTGAGGACCTCGCTGGACGTGCTGCTGACCACGGCGTCCATCCTGCACCTCTGCTGCATCTCCCTGGACAGGTACCAGCTGCACTGGGGCACTGCTGGAAGTCTCTTCTGGCCTCTGGGTTATCCCCAGCTGCCAGAGGGCAAAGATGCACCTGCTTGGGGAGGCAGAGCAACAAATCCCTCCCAGTGGCTGATTTCGGAGAGAATCCTGACGAGGGCAGAGAAATTTGGAATGGGATGAGATTTCTGGGAAGGGCCTGGGTTGTTCTGTGCACAGCTCTGTTGGCAGCACTGACCAGGCGTGGTTCTGTTCCAAAGACACCTCGAATGTGTCCAGAGGTGGGAGCTGAGCTGGGGCAGAGGGAGGGGCTGTTCCAGGAGAGAGGCTCCTCTGCTCCTAGGATGAGGTGAAACAGCCCCAAACTGCACCAGGGCAGGCTCAGGGTGGGCAGCAGCAGGATTTTCCCCATGGAAAAGGTGCTCAGGCCTTGGACCCACCCAGGGAGGTTTGGGTCCCCATCCCTGGAGGTGCCACCTGGATGTGACACTCAGTGCTCTTGGTGACAAGGTGGGGATCAGGCACAGATCTTCTCCAGCCTAAATCTCCTGGGAGATCCTAAAAACTTTCCTTTCTTTCTAACTTTTCTTGCCACCTGAAAATAAAGCCCAAAGCCTCAATAATTTATGGTGAGCAATTCTGTTTGTCTGCAGATTTTTAGGTAAATGGCAGAACTTCCATGAGAGTTTTTCACAAGATGAACACTCAGTAGAAAACATTTTGGCTATTCTGATAATATTTTTAGAGGTTTTTGTTTTTGGGGTTTTTTTTTGAGTTCTGTGTGGAGATTTCAATACCTTTAAAAACACTTTTACTTAGTGTTGCTAACAGGGCCAAAATAACCATAATTATTCTTGTTATTGTGACAGCTGATATTTAAATATGTGGCATTTCAGTATCTTGAGAGTCTGAGTGCAGCCAGACTTCAAAAAAAAAAAGTTGCTTAACCTCTGTATTGATGGGCAGCAGTGCTGTGGGGTGGGAGGCAGTTTTGTATCCAGAGAGAAGCTGACATCCAACAGCCACAGCTCCTGTCCTTATCTGCAAGTTTAGATGGCTGGAACACAAATGGGAAGCTCATTATCTTCAAACCATTGACAAATTGCCACTCTGAGCCAATTACCAGGAAAGCAGATGTTGGGCACCGTGCTCTGGACATGACCTTGCTCTCTGAAATGTTGGAGTTTGATTCTCCAGGCTCTTAATTAAATAGAGAGGGTTGTGGAGAGAAGGGAAATTGAGATTTCAGCCCCAGACCTGCAGCAGGGGATGAGGAATCTCCCATGTGGGGGGCACAGAAAGGAGGTTCCCCCCTTCTCCTGCCCTCCTGGAGACCCCCCCCCATGTCCAGAGCTCCTGCTGCCTGTCCCCATCTGTCCCCAAGGTCCTGGGACAGCCTTTTGGAGCTGATGCTTTAGGGATACCCCTCCACCTGAGCCCTGGGCATTACCCTGAGTTTCTCTGGCATTTTTAGTTGGTTTGGGGTTGGTTTTTTCCACAGTGAGTTCTGATTGAGAACAGTGTGAAGCGGCCAGAATAGATGAGGAGGAGGTGGTGGGTGACCCCAAAAGGGCAGAGCAGGTGGATGAATGAGAGGTTTTTGTGGAGAGAAGGATGACTCAGCCCAGCTTCGACCCTCCCTGCGCTGCCCTGCTTCCTTCCCAGGGCTTAATTCCATTTTTTTTTCAGCTGTTTGTTCTTGTGTTCATTCAGAATTTATGGCAGTGTGCTGCTTCTAGTTGGTAATTTTTCTGTGATCTATCTCCTGCCTTCTGTTTTATTTCAGAGCATGCAGGTGTGAGTTTCAAGGGGTTTTTAAAGAAAACTAGGTGGTTAATCTAATCCTAAAGACTCAGTTTGAAAGTCATTCCCTTCAGCATATTCACAAAGTGTTGTTTGAAAAGACTTTGATCTGATAAAGTCTTGTATCCATTTCCACTGCTGCCTCTGGAAACGATGAAAACAAGCAGTGAGGCTTGAATTCTCAAAGGCATTGGAGAAAATCTGGAGAAATCACCGTGTAATAAACGGATTTTACTGCTGAGACACAGGGAGAGCAGTACTGCAGACAGCCTCTGCCAGTCTCAGTTGGAAAAGGGATTTTCCGAGGTAGCAAAGGTATCTCAGGGCTCACTGAACCCAAAGTTTGCTGCCATTGTCTTAAGCTTTTTCATCATCTCTTTGATATTCTAATATATTAGAGAGATTTACCCTTGAAATATTTATTTATTGCATGTTTTATGCATACATGCCCATTCTTTGTGCCAGTGCAGTAAAAAATAATTGCACTGCAGATAAACAGACCCAGAAGCTCTGACGGAGTCTCCAAATACAGCAAACCTGTCAGGAGAGGCAATTTTCTCTTCCAATATTTGCAGTCCAATTTGCAATGCAATTGCTTCTCAAAGGCTTTGGGGGATGGAGAAAACAAGAGAGAAACAAACAGGTCCCAGCTGTCTGTGGGTTTGGGTTTGGATGCACATCTGGCACCTCTTCATGCAGCTGGAGTAAAAACACCCCTGTACAGGTGTTAAAACCCCCTTGTACAATATTAAAAAAAATTTCCCTCTATTTTGTAACTACTTCTACTACACCATCTAACCTCTGTGACCGCTTGTTCCACCTTCAAAGTTGGTAACTCATTCCATGGCTCAAACCCAAAATCACAGCTGTTTCCAGCTGCTTGCCAGGGTTTAAAATGCTTCAGACCAAGGCCTGGAACCTCTGAAAATGTCTGAGGGACATTTTGAGTGCCGACAGCACACCACAAACCAGCCCTGAGCGTGTCCTTTGATCCCAAACTGATCCTGCATCAGGCACAGCCCAAAATCCCAGCTAGAGCCCGGCAGATGCACCCGGGGAGTGACAGCTGCTCCTCGTGCTGTTTGCAAACATTAATTACCATTAATGGGCAGCAAATTAGCTCAGCCCCGTGGGAGAGGTGATGCTCTAAAGCCTCCCGAGCTCTGTGGTGACATGGTAGGACAGGGCACAGAGCGTGGCCCTGGGGGGCACAGGGTGGGCACTGCCCTGCTCCCGGTGCTCCAGCCCAGCATTCCCCTTCCCGGGGCATCACAGACGGGCACGAAGGACTGACTGGTGCCCAAAGGATGCCCAGGCTGTGGTTGGCAGCACAGGGTGTTTTCCCAGGCTGGGAGGAAGCCACAGTGCCCAGCAGTGTCCTGTGGAGCATCCCTGGCTGCCCAGGACCACAGGGAGGTTGTTAGTGGGGAGGGTGATTAAACTTTGCCTAGCTGGCAGTAATTAATGCTTACAGTCTGATTAAATGCCCCAAATTCCAGCTGGAATTCCTGTAAATTCCTGTGGCCCCAATTCCAGCTGGGCCTGTCCCCGGGCTCTGGGAGGTGACACAGCTGTGGAGCTGTCCCTGCCAGCCACAGCAGCAGCCCGGGTACTGCAGAACGCTCCTCTGAGAGCATTAAGGAAAATCCCAGAGCAGATGGCCACGGCACACTCTGCCCTCTATTCAGCTTTGCAAACCCTCCAGAAATATTTCATTTATTTTGCCACCCTTGCTGCCAATAACCCTCCACACACCTCAGCCTCACGGGGACCACGGAGGAGCCCCCTCTCTCCCCATTTGGCAACATACATTTGTTTGTGTTCCCTGCTAAATTTATCCAGCTCCAATTAACTGTTCTCTTTAGCATTTTTCTCAGTGTAATTATCTCAACACCAACAGGCCGTTGTTTTTCTAATAAGAATTTAATTTTGTTAGATAGAATCATTTTAGGACATTTTCTTTTTTTGGACCAACGATGCAGAACTTTGTTTTATTTGGCACGACGAGGGCCCAAAGCTTATTTGCTCAGTGGGAAAAAGGAAAATAGAAAGAGCTGTTCTTTCAAAAAAAATATTAAAATCTGGTTACACAGAGGCCAGAACCTGTTTTCACTGAAATATCAGCAACAGCAGTGTTGGATTAATCTTCCACAGGCTCAAATAAATTGAAATTGTGGCTCCTTAGGTTCCTCACTTGGTCAGGACTCAGCTGGAGACTCTGTCCCAGTCTGGATTCCCTGAGGCACAAGGACAAGGGCAGTGATCTCCCACTTGGCTCTTGCACCCTAACTTTGGGAGACAGACAGTAGCATCCACATCCTTTTGTCTTCTTTTTCCAGTTTTCTCATCCTTTTTTCTTCTTTTTCCCAGTTTTTCCATCCTTTTGTCTTCTTTTTTTCCCAATTTTCCTATCTTTTGGCTTCTTTTTTTCCTAGCTGATTTAAGGGGGGTGAAATATTACTCAGTGTGAGTGCTCAGTGAGTGTTCTGCGTCTCATCCTGGCCCCAGGATGATCCAACATATGCTATGTACATCATTTTACATATGCACATGACACCAAACGCTTTCAAGTGTGGGCCACCCCCAGAGCCAGGCTGTTAATAAGGCTGGGGGTGGATTTGTCTGTCTGTGATAGCTGAGAGCTCCTTGCAGGGTAAGTGCCTGCAGGCTCCCAGCTCCAAACTGCTCTGCAAACCAGGGAGATGCTTGAATTGCCCTCCAAGGGCAGGGAATGATCTCCTGCAGCTCAGTAATTCCATTTCTGCCCTGCCCAGGAGGCAGGAAGGAGCAGTGGTGTGGTCTGAGGCAGGAGCTGAGCGCTCCAGGGCAGCTTTTCCACAGCCACGGGGTTCAGGAGGTGTTTGGATAAATCAAGAATTCCTTGCCATGGCCCACAGCCAGTTGTGCTGCTGGCAGGCAGGGCAGATCCAGGCTGGGGAGCTGCAGCAAGTGTGGGACTGGTTCCCAGCTGGGACCTTCCAGTGCCTGAGGGAAGATGGAAAAGAGAGTGCCAGGGCAAGGGAATGGCTTCCCATTGACAGAGGGCAGGGATAGATGGGATTTGGGAAGGAATTCCTGGCTGGGAGGGTGGGCAGGCCCTGGCACAGGGTGCCCAGAGCAGCTGTGGCTGCCCCTGCATCCCTGGCAGTGCCCAAGGCCAGGCTGGATGGGCTTGGAACAGCCTGGGACAGTGGGAGGTGTCCCTGCCCATGGCAGGGGTGGAATGGGATGAAATTTAAGGTCCCTTCCCAAGTCCCTTCCCTGTGATTCTGTGATTTCTGCAGTGGCCAGAAGAGCCACAAAGCCAGAGAAATGATGGATTTCTTCTCTTCAGCCACCTGTAAAATGTTAGCACTTGATTCATTCCTGTGGCAAATGTCTGATAAGGATGAGGAGAAGTCTTATAATAACCTTTGCTTTATTGGAAGAGCTGCAGCTCTGGGAAGGGATTCCTGTGTTTCCCCTTCAGTGGAGAATGTCATTGCAGAGGAGAGGAGGTTTCACATCAGCTGCTCCGCTGTAGGTGACAGGGAAGTGAACATTTGAGAGGAACTTGACTGATAATAGAGAGAATTAATATTTAATTGGGCCTGGACATGCTATTAATCATGTGTATGCACTGCATTTTGTGTTCATCCATCAGGCTGCCACAGCAGCACGTAACAGATATTCCTTGTGAGCCCAGGAAAACAGCTCTGCCTTGAAATGGAGCAGGAGAACAGAGCATGTCTTTATTCCAGCCTCTGACTAAAACTATTGACAATCTCACAGATATAATTACTTTTCTCCCAGTGAATAAATAGCTGCTTGAATGCTCAGGCCACCACATAGACCAAACCAGCAGCTCCTGCCCCAGCTGTGACTTCCAGGCCTTCTGGTGGCACTCAGAGCTGTCTGTGTCTGATTCCTGGGGTGGAAACTCTGCTGGGCTCTGAGGAGTGGGTGCTGTGCTCCTCTGCCTCCCTTGCTGTCACACAATTGTCACCCACACCCTGCTCAGGGCACTTGGTCACCCAAAACACTGACAGGAGGAGCCCAGCTCGACTGGCTGAGCACGGGGGAAGTTCTGGTAGCAGCGAAAGTGAAATAAAATAAAATCTTCTGACGTGAAACTGGAGGAAAATTGCTGCTGAATCACTGGGAGGGAAGAAATATGAGAGCTTAAGGTGTCATTTTTACAGGCATAATTTTTACTCTAATGGCCTTTAATAGCAGGAACTATTCAGTGTAATTCAGCTGCAGCAGAGAGAGGAGCAGAGAAATGTGATCACTCAAACTGCTGGCAAGAATTGTTTTCCTGCTGCAGTTAATTATCAGTGTACGGTGGTTTTCTCTTCCTGTTTGCTTTCCAACTTGTCAAAGGGTAGCTGCTGTCTTGGCTGGTTTTATACTTTCATTGATTGGATTTCTTCTTTTGCCCTTTCTGCAAAGAAATGGAGTCTCTCGTGCCTTGCCTTTGATGCCTTTGATGTCCAGCACTTCCAGTGGGTGACCTCCAGATAAGAAATAATGAAATAGCTTCAATTTATTTTTAAATATAGATCCTTTGTGTTGAGAGCCAGAGGAGCAGCTCTGATGCCAGGGGAAGCTCCCTCTGTCCCAATAAACATCCCCAAAATTGCTGTTGGAATTCCAAGGTCATTTCCTGGAGCAGGGATCAGCCCCAGGGGAGCTGAAGCTCCACCAGAGGAACATTTCACCCACAGCTCTGAAAGAGCAGCTCCTGGCAAATCCTATTTTTTGGAAGTGCAGCTTTCCAGAGGAACAGGCTTTATTTTTCATGCACATAGGAAACCAGAGGAGAATAGAGGAATTATCAAATTGCAGGAGTTGAATGCCTGTTTCAGCATTTTTCCCCTGTGACATTTTGAATCTTGTTCCAAAGAGACTTTTAAGAACTGTTTTCTTTTGACACTTTGATATTATTTCAAGCCTCTGTGTGGAATATATCATCTGATTTTATCAAAATAAAGCAATTCAGTTGACTCCACATGACTTAAAAAAAAAAAAAAAAAGCGCCTTAGGAAAAAAAATGGAAATTCTTATATTTTTGTCCCTGTTTAGGACTAAGCTCTTGGTTCCTATTCAAATCTCAATGAAATAAATGCACAGCTCGAAGAACAGCTCCTTAATACACACACGTGTGCTTGCTAATTTAATTCCTCTAATTCATGGTTCTGCTGCCCTCATAAAATTTTTTTCAGAGTGTGCTGAAATCCAAAAATCTAAAGAGAATAAAATATTTTATTGGGAACCTGAGACTGATTGTCAGGTCAGGACCACTGAAAGTCTGCAATTGGATATTTGCTGATCTGATCTTCTTTGGAATAAATAATAATGTCAGAGCCAGAGATTTCCAGTTTTAGGTTTGCTACCCCTTCCTGATGGAGAGATCCACCTGCAGGGTTGGCACGGGGGTCAAACAAAGAGAAAATTTGATTTCTAATCTCTTTGAGAAGATATTTTTAGGTCTTAACTGTTTTGGGGCAGGGACCTGTTGCACTTGGGACATTTTGAAGGGATCAGGAGGAGGGAGGAGAGTTCAGGGCACATCCCCTTGATGTGCAAAGACACCTCTGCCCTGTCCTTGGGAAGGTTAAAGCCCAGCTGAAAAGAGGTGGATTCCTGGGAAATGGAAGAACACACTTCATTTCACTGCCAGTTTCACAGCTTTGGCAGACTTTGTTAATTTGTGCTAACAGCTTTTGCAGCCTTGTCAAAATAAATGTCCAGTGCAGGAAGGAAATTCAGCTAAGGCTGCCTGGGAGGAAGGGATATTCCTTGGAGGGTGGGAACATCCTCAGTGCGGAGGGAGAGCAGGGCTGAATATGGGATTTCTCCTTTGCCCTGCCACCTCAGACAGCCCACAGCATTTACCTGTGCCTCGTTCTCCCTGGCTGGAAAGCAGAAAACTCTGTTTTTTCCTTGCCAGCCACCATGAACCCTGGGGAAACATCCCAAGTTCCCGTGTGAGGGGCCCATGGAAGCAGGCTACACACCCCTGTTTTCCCTCTGTTTTGGAAGGCAGCTGGAGGAAGGGCTTTACCATTTAATTTTTAGAAAGCTTGAAATTCTCCTCTGACTGCTTCTGTCCCATTTTTGTGTCTCATATAGGTAGGAATCTTATAAAAGAAAAGATTTATCAAATCAGGGCTTAGGCCTGTTACTTTTCTAAGTACAGCTAAGCAACTAGCTAAGTTCCCATGTGAAAGGATATTGAAAATCAAAGTCAGTTAACGCAACGAGTTAGTCTTTTGAAGAAAACCAATTTACACCTTTAATAACAAAAGATCTGTCCCATGAGAATCCACAAATATAAACACCTGTGAATACAAAAAGTCTTAACAGCTACATACACAAACACCTTCAAACCGATGAACTGAGTGGCAGGAAAACTCCCAGCCAACTGGAGTAGCACACAAAGTCTGTGAAAACGACAGAAAAATGAGATATGTGAATAAAGAACTGGCTTTGCTGCATGAAGAAGCTGAGAACCATCTGCTTGATGACATTTTTGCCCTGCAGGTACTATGCCATCTGCTGCCAGCCCCTGGTGTACAGGAACAAGATGACCCCGCTGCGCATCGCGCTGATGCTGGGGGGCTGCTGGATCATCCCAACCTTCATTTCCTTCCTCCCCATCATGCAAGGCTGGAATAGCATAGGCATCATTGATCTGGTGAGTAGCCAAGCAGGGACACCAATCCAGTGTGCTGGATGAGTGCTGGATGTTCTCTAAAAAGCAATTTTCAGGGAAAGGGAAAAAGAAGGAGAAACTTCTTGTTGTCAGTGCAGAGGGGCTGCTGCTCAATTTCTGAAGGGGGTCTTTAAAGGAGGTTGAGGTGGCTCTGTCCTGAAAGGACTGACACAGGATGGGGTGGCCTTGAGAGGATTTTAGCCACATTCAGTTCAGTGAGGAGTCCTTGGAAAAAAGCCAAGCCCCAGCTGGCCCCTGACAACACCTCAGGAGTCCATGGTCCCCTTGGCCTTTGCAGCTCTCACTTAAGGAAGGGGGAGGATTATTCTCTTTGTAGAATGAGCAGGAGCTGGTAGTGCCAGGACAAGGGAGTGGCTGCACGCTGCCAGAGGGCAGGGTTAGGTGGGATATTAGGAAAAACTCCTTCCCTGGAGGGTGGGACGGCCCTGGCACAGGCTGCCCAGGGAGGTTGTGGATGTGTCCAAGTGTCCAAGGATGGCTGGATGGGGCTTGGAGCAACCTGGTCTAGTGGAAGGTGTCCCTGCCCATGACAGGGGGTGACAGAAGATGATTTTTAAGGTCCCTCCCCATTGGAGTCCTGGATGCTGAGAATTTTAGACCTTCTGTGCTGACAGATTCTGACTCCCAAGAGAGCACTAGATTTGACCTGAGGCCGTAGAGAAAGCTTCCTAAACTGACTGATAGTGCTGAGATTATGAGCGTGCAGCTGACACCTCCCAACCCAACCCGTTCTCTGATTCCCACTTCTCCCCTCCCACCCCAGATCCAGCAAAGACAGTTCAACAAGGCCTCCAACTCCACCTACTGCATCTTCATGGTGAACAAGCCCTACGCCATCACCTGCTCCGTGGTGGCCTTCTACATCCCCTTCCTGCTGATGGTGCTGGCCTACCACCGCATCTACGTGACGGCGCGGGCGCACGCGCGGCAGATCCGCCTGCTGCAGCGCGCGGGGAACCCGGCCGAGCCCCGGCAGGGCCACCAGGAGCCCCGGCAGGACCACCAGGAGCCCCGGCAGGGCCACCAGGAGCCACGGCAGGGCCACCAGGAACCACGGCAGCACCCCCCTGACCAGCACAGCACCCACCGCATGAAAACCGAGACCAAAGCCGCCAAGACCCTGTGCATCATCATGGGCTGCTTCTGCCTCTGCTGGGCCCCCTTCTTCGTCACCAACATCGTGGATCCCTTCATTAACTACACGGTGCCCGGCAAGCTGTGGACGGCCTTCCTGTGGCTGGGCTACATCAACTCGGGCTTGAACCCTTTCCTCTACGCCTTCCTCAACAAGGCTTTCAGACGTGCCTTCCTCATCATCCTGTGCTGCGGCGACGAGCGCTACCGAAGGCCTTCCATCCTGGGCCAGACCGTGCCCTGCTCCACCACCACCATCAACGGCTCCACGCACGTGCTGAGGTGAGTCTGCCCTGGTGCCTTCAGGGGCTACAGTGCTAAAGGAATTGAGATTTATGGAAAGGCCTTCACAGGATACACCTTGGGCACTGCAAGAGCCCGGCCGTGGCTCCACCCCAGGTGGACTCCTGGTCACCAGTTTTGACACTTTTATGAGTTTGGGTCCATTTCCATGTTAGGGTTCATTGTCCAATTCCAGCTCCAGGTGATGCAGTCCCATCCTCCCAGGCTGCTCTCCTCCATTCCTGCTGTTTGCACTTTTTGGGGCTGGAGCTGCAGCGGTGTCCTTGGTTCTGGGCTGGAAAAGGATTGTTCAGTGTGCCTGAGCTGGTTCTGGGCTGGAAAAGGATTGTTCAGTGTTCCTGAGCTGGTTCTGGGCTGGAAAAGGATTGTTCAGTGTGCCTGAGCTGGTTCTGGGTTGGAAAAGGATTGTTCTGTGTGCCTGAGCTGGTTCTGGGCTGGAAAAGGATTATTCAATGTGCCTGAGCTGTGAGCAGAACTTGCTGACACTTTACATGGAGTTCAGAGTTCTGTACCTGAGCCTGGAAAATGTGAAAGCTCAAACTGAAGGCATCAGCCCAGGGCTGCCCAGAGCCTGCAGCCACCAGCTCTTGCTGGAGTTTGTACAGGGTTGCTTTCATTTTGCAATATCTTGGTGGTATCAGTGCTTAGAAAGGGATGGGGCAAAAGCAATCCTGAGGTGCTCAGACAGTCTGGGTTTGCAGGGAACAACTGTGTGCAGGTGTACCCAGGAAAGAGCTGGGAGGGTGCAGAAGTTGTGTGTGAATTTTGGCATCATTTGTTCTGAAGGAAACAACATGACCCTGTGGATGCTGCCCGCTGCATCTTCTTTAGGAAAGGGACCAAAAGTTTCTGCCACTGGTTGTTTCAGTGGTATTTTATAGCTGCTTTTTGTTCCCTGGCAGGGGAGAGGAGAGCAGTGGCAAGAGGGACAGACCTTGTGCTGAACTCAGCTATGACAAAAATTAGCACAATAATGAACTGTAAATAGATGGGGATTTCTGGGTGTTCGGGGCTCTGTGCAACACCAGACTGAAAAAAGTGAAAATCATCTGAAAAATGCCGTGCTCCCCTTGAAACAGATTGTTTGCATTTCTTCTGTCACGAGTAGATATTTATTGAACACAAACCAACAAACTCCTGCCTCGATGAATCATTGAACTCTTGTACAGCACAAGTGGATGGGGAGCCAGGTCAGCATTGCTGGAATTCTTGGATAAAACAAGTTGTGAAATTTTGCCATAGCAAAGAAGATGGCTTTGGGTGAAATGTATTTGAGCAGGCAAACTCTGGAACATGTGGGTCAGGGAGGTCACTCTGGTGTGTTCTGTTTCCTCTCAGAAGTGCTCAGAGCACCGCATTGCTCTCTTCAGGGAAAGCTCTGGTGAGAGGTTTATTTACCACTCATTTTCCAGCACTGAGAGGTCTTCTCCAAAAGTCAATTGGACTTCTCCAAAGGAAAACACTTCCTGATTTTTCTCATGAATGAGCCAAGAGAAACAAAGTGGGGAAAAAGCAGAAAAAAAGCACCTTGTGGAGTTGGAGCTGCAGTGAGCCCCAGTGCTCCCTGCTGCCACTGGAACAGGAGCGCAGCAGCTCAGGCTCCAGCTTTTAGAGGTTTAACAGCTCCATGGATCCAGTGGAATAAAAATAAATCCCTGGTGCTAGGAAAGTGGTCAGAGCTGCTGTGGAGCAAAAGGATGAGTGATCGCAGAATCCTGGAGCTGTAGAATGGTTTGTGTGGGTTTTTGAATGGTTCGTGGTGGTTTTTGAATGGTTCGTGGTGGTTTTTGAATGGTTTGTGGTGGTTTTTGAATGGCTTATGATGGTTTTTGAATGGTTTGTGGTGGATTTTGAATGGTTTGTGATGTGTGACTCTCAGGCAGGGTTCCCCTGGAGCACAGGTGATGCTGGGAGTGGAGCAGTGGTCCCACCCCACCCTTGAGGCTGGAATTTCATGGGCTGCAACCGTGGCTCAGCTCAGGAAATGCAGAGGTTGTCTCTCAGAGCTGTTCCTGGTGCATCCAGCAGGTCTTTCAGGATCTGGGCTTGCAGGTAAAACATCTCCTCCTGTTCTTCCTCCTCCTGTTCTTCCTCCTTCCCTGGCCACTAAGGCAGGTGAAGAGACCACGGAGCTTCCCAAGGCAGAGCCGCACACTCAGTGCTGGGGGTTGGAAAGGGTTAAAATTTTTGGCTGCCTGGGAATTTTAATGATCCTGCAAGATGAATCAGAGCTCTGACAGGTTCTGTCTCCTTCAGGACAAGTTCATGAACCCCAGGTAGATCTTTTGGGCTTGCTCTGCCCTCCTGTCCATCCCCCAGACTCTGTTGCACACTGGATTTGCACTGGGCATTTTTGGAGGTTTTTTGGAGGCAAATGTGGAGTTTTTGTGCTGGTGGCACCTGCAGAGCTTTGGGGTCTGTGTTGCCCCTTCTCCAGCAGTTCCTTTATTCATGGTACCATCCGGGAAGAACTCCCCCCTCCTTGGCGAGGTGCTGATAAAGCACATTCCCACTAAATTATTTTTTTGGAAATTCCTGAGCAAAAGCTTGAGAGACACAGCAAATGGTGGGCATTTAAAGATGGTGATTCCAGTGATATTTCATTCATTTTGGCTAGGGTAGGGCAGCCAGAGGTTGCTCAAGATGTGTTTTCCACTCCAGAGGTTTCAGTTCAGGGATCAGCTCCCTGTGCCAGCAGAAATGGCTCCAGACCAAGCCCAAGCTGAGGAGATCTGATTGCTGCCTGGAAATGCTAATATTGTTAAATAGTCAAGAGGCAATTTGGTTTCCACCTAAATTTCATTAGCTGCCAACCTGGAAAGGGATTCTCTAAAAATACAGGGGATGATTAGATTCAGTAACAACTAAAAAAAGAGTTTTGTGATTTCTGGAAGGAGCTTTCTTAATTTTTGAATGAAGCTTTGCCAATATTTACAACCAAACTTATGTTCCAACTTCCCTGGCGTGGTTTTCCAGCTTGGCACCAGTGCCAGCCTTTTTGTGCCATTCCCTGTGACTGGGGCTGTCAGGGTTCTGAGCAGGCACAGGGAGCTGTGACCATCAGAGGTCCTGAGCCAGGAGGGCAGCGGAGATTTGGGATCTGCTGCAGGGTCCAGGAGCAGAGGAACCCTCAGGTGCAGGAATGGGGATGTTCCACAAAGCCCAAGTTCCCACCCTGGATCAGAGGAGCCTCCTTCCCCCAAACCCTGCTCCCCAAAGGGCTGCTGAAGCCTTGTCCCAGCTCCAAAAATGCCTCACCCGAGGGAACAGAGAGCTTCCGATAAGAGAAAAGCTTCTTGTAATTGTGCTGAGTGAAATCAAGATATTTATCTTATTTCCTACAAAGGATAGAGGAGATTAGAGCTTTACAATAACACAGTTTCTTTCCATTTTCAAAAGATAATCTCTTTCAATATGCCTGGGTGTTGGAAAGAGAGATTACAGGATAATACAGGATTTGGGATCAGAAGTTCTGCATCAGGATGTGTGTGGTGGGGAAGCCGAGGCTCTGCAGGGAGCTCTGGAAGGACTGAGCTGCAACTCACCTTTGTATAAATGAAAACGCCAATTTAAGAATTAAGGAAATTTATTAAATAATCAAAGTATAAATTTGGAAAAAAGGAAAGCCACAAGCGATTTGACTCTGAGCCAGGGGATCGGTGTTGGGGGGACTCAGGACTTGGCCTCTGTGGCTCCAAAGTCCCCGAGGGTCTCCAGGGCTCAGTTCTGAGGAGTCCATTTCTGTGCAGTCTCTCGGGCTTTGGAAAGGGGTTTTCTTTAGCATATTATTGTGCTTTTCCCAGAACAGGTGGAAAATTGCTGGAATCCTTCAGGTGAAAATCTCTGGGATAAGCTTCTGATGATGCCTATCAGAAATGTCTCCAGCTGGGGTCTTGTCAGATGAGAAATCCTTTGGAATATACATTTCTGGAGACAGTGTCTTTTTGGTTTTTTGGATTTTTATCACTTAGCTTGCTTGTTGCCTGACACTGGTTTTAGTGCACGAGATGCTGTGGTTTTTAATTTTATTTAGCATGAATTATTTTATAACATATATTACATATAACACCTTTTTCTGTTCCTCATTGCATGATCTGTGCTTTGGGCAGTGAGGGCAGCTGTATTGTGGTGGGGCAGGACCTGCCTTGCAGCTGGAATTTGGGATCCACAGCCCCACATTCCCTGCAGCTGGAATGTCTGACAGCTCCTCCTGGCACAGCCCAGACCTGGTGGAAATTTCCCACTTAAATAATGGAGTGCACCTTCACCAACTGTATTTAGCTAAAACACAGACATCCCCCATACTGCAGCACACACTGAATCCAGCTCCCAGTCCTTTGTCAGTCTCTCCACTCATTCCAGAGGTCCAAAACAGGATTTAAAACTAATTTTGGTACCTGAATAAGCTCTGTTATGGATAAAAATTTGCTCTCCACCTACTCACCTTCTGTTTCGACTAACCTTTGAATGTGTTGGGCTGGTTCTCTCCTCTCTAGAGATTAATTTGGTTTATCAGCAGAGTGTTTTCAGACAATGCAAATCAGCATGTGGAAAGAGCCCCACGTGCCTCAGGGTTAGAAATTCTATGGAAACCTCAGCAATTATTGTCATGTTCTGTTCTTCCTCGGGCCAGCAGTATCTCCAACTCAGAGCTAATTGTGTAAGTGTAATTTTAATTTTAGGTTCAGTTCTTTGTTCTTCTTTTCAATAATTCTCTTCCTTTCTGATTGCTAGAGAAGAATTTATTTAAGCATTGTATGCACCACCCCACTGTAAAGTCATAATGTGGAAAAGCTTCCCTGTTGCTGTGTTAAAATTGCTTTTAAGGCTTTTGGAGTGTCTGTGGGAGAGAAAACCTTGTTATTCCCATGATATTTTGGCCAGAAATTTGGTATTTCCAGGAAGGTATCGAGGACATCCAGCACATCTGCTGTGATGTGACTGTCTTTTAACAATTTGCCATTTTTGGGATCCTTCCC